TATTTTAGAGATGTCCCTATACGGTACCATTATTTTTATTTTAGAGATGTCCCTATATGGTACCATTATTTTTATTTTACAAATGTCTCTATGTGGTACCATTATTTTTCCCAGCACTGAACACTGTTCAGTTTTTAGTTCAGAGGACAGAGTGAGACGGGGGGAGTTGGGGAGCAAAACTCACATTTTTCTCTGTACTTACCTGCATTACTTCTTTTTTACAATGTACATGAGGGAAATGTGTTCATTTGTGTATTACTTGGTTTCATAAAAAAAAAAAAATCACACATAGTTTTTCTCACATTAACTAGATTAGAAAATAAACATTTCTAATGGACTTTACTGCAAGGCAAGCTCATTTTAATCGGCACATCTAACAGGATATACCAGTTGGCACAGAGCTGGCCTCTTGCTCCGGCCTTCTTGGGTGGCTTCATTCCACACTGTGGTGAGGGCTGATGGGGACCTATTCATCTGGCATGCTGGTGGCCAAGGGCAGTGGCCAGCTGGAAGCCAGGGCCGCATCAGCACATCTTACTGAAGGCATCAATTTCCTCTTTTGTTTTCCTGAGGAGACTGAGTTCACACACTGTCTGTGGCTGCACTCTGACGCAACACCCAACCCCTTCTCACCTGTGTGTTCTTGCAAATTTATGTTTCGTTCACAGACAAGGAAAATCTATTTTTAGTTTGTAATCATAGCAACTATAGAAATAAATGAAGCTTAAAGGTAACTATTTTAAAACATTAAAAATGAAGGCAACTATTCATTGTAAACATAGTTTTACTATAAGTCAGAGGTTGAGACCTAGGATATTGTGATGTAAATAGGCATACTCTGCAAGCACTTTAGCTACAGAGAAACCTATCTATATATTGATTCAGGTTCTACTGTGCTAATTATTCTAATTCTCTGGATTTAGAAAATTATAGAACTACGCAATGATATATTTGTACCAAAAAAGCAATAGGTATCATTGCCCACGACAAGGGAGATGTCCCTATACAGTTCCACTATTTTTCCAGCACAAGTGAACGACACATATTCACTCCTGCAAAGTGATATTTAAGTAAACTGCAGGTACAAATTCTTGCAGACTTAGATTGATAAATCAGTCTAAGGAGATGTTTTCAGGCACTCAGATAAACAAGGGATACTTTTAAGATCAGGGAGCAACATGTCAAATCTCTTAAGAGTAGAGTATGAATAATTAAGAAGGTAAGGGGAAGACTATGTTAACCAGTTCCATGTAAGCATTCCAATTTGTATATAAAATCAGCACGCTGTACCCCATAAATGCATTAATGTACACAGTTAATAAAAAAAAGAAGATCTTGGAGGGGGAGCAGAGACCCTGGCAGCAGCTCCAGGGCTGGGATCCTCTAAAGGAAATTTGCATTTTCTGGGCTTTTAGTCAGGCTAAGCAGGATACATTCTTGTTAAGCCCTGCACTAGGGCAACACTATTATTAATCATGCAAACTTCTTTTTTGGATGGGCAAAAGAATTTGAGGATGACTCAGCAAGAGATTTCAGAACCAAACGCCTCTACCTGCTTACTGAACATGCCCTTTTAAAAATCTGCCGTCTGCTGTGTATTTGAACTTTTAAGGTTTAAAATCTACAGAAGGCAGGATCCAGCCCTTGCAGTGGCTTCTGAGAAAGCGCCAGTTTTGCAAAGAATATTAAATCAGTTCAGTTCCAATTCGTACAAAGTTGAAAATAATTGATACTTCTTAGAAATTCACCTCTTTCTTTTCTTTAACAAACATAAAAACCAGGTCAAACTTCCAAACCAAAGATGGCTTGCCCTGTCAAAGGAGACTGTGAGCGCGGTCACCTTCATGTTCCCCTCGGTGTCAGACTCTGCACGTTGACAGTATGTTGGATAAGGGGGAGAATTTGTCAAATAAAGATGTAAAGGCAACAGATCTTTTTACAAGTCCCCACTAAAGTAACAGTTAAAGATTTAGTTGGAAGCGGAAAGCGCCCTCTCACCAGTCCCTTGGAAGCTTGGGGGTGAAGTCCTATCACCTATTTTGGAAACTACTTACAGATGTGGGGAAATCTCGGCATTGCTCACAACAGGGGTTTTGCAGAGATTTCCTCTGATTTTTTTTCCCCTCCCCAACTTCCCACAACCTGTGTTTGTCTTGAGTCTCCTTGGCTGACATGTGGTTTACCTCGCTGATCCCGCTGCCAGGTTTTACACACTGTGAAGAAGCGAAACAGCCAAAGCCGAAGGATACCGAGCAACTCTGGGCACCGGCGCCAGGACTGTCACAGAAAATTTGTTTCCCGAGCGTTTGGTCCAACTTCCCTCCTTGCGCCCACGTGAGCCTCCGCGCCAGCCCACCGCCGAGGGCTCGGCGTTTCCTGCTGCTTCAATATGTAACTCGATTTTGGATTTTTTTTAAAATTGTCGTCCTGAGATCTCAGTTCTTTGCAATACTTTGTTGGTTAGACTTTTCCTGCAGTCTATTTATTTTCCTCCCTAAATCACTAACACTCAAGACACTTTCCCCCAATCCCGGGCTGCGCTGAGGTTAACAGGAGCCCAGGAAAGGGCGCCCTGCCCGGCTGTTTATTTGGGGGGAGGGGAACGGAGACCCGCTAAGTTACCCCATCCTCGTGCCACCCCCGGTCTGGCACTCTGAGCCGACACGTGCAGCATCTGTGAATTGCTGTGCGCGGACGCAGATACAGAATATAGTCATTTTTATCTTTTCGTGAAATATAAATGGGGTTGTCAGCGCTCTCGCCTCTGTTTGTTTGTCTAGGCTATCAAAAGAAGTCAGAGACGAGGCTGTGGCCCGGATCCTGACCCTGATTGTATGAATAAGTAAGCAGGATGCAAGTGATTGGGTTAGATGCTGCGAAGATTTTTTTTTTTTCAAGTTAGGAAGAGGGTAAAAAGACAGCCGAGGGGAAGGCAGACAGCGCATCCCCAACCCGCACACTCGGCTCTCCTCGCGGCCAGTTCTGCCGGCTCCCGCAGGCTCTCGGTCTCCGGCGCAGAGATGCCTGCCCCCCACCCCCTTCCTCGGTCTCCCCTTGTAGTCCAGACGTGCTGATGTGCAGACCGGATTCATCTGCTCGGAGCGGCGGCGGCGGGCTCAGGCGGCGAAGCCTCACGCTCGGCCCCGGGGTTCAGGCGGCGGGGGCGCGGCGGCGCGGGAGCCCCAGCTCAGGAGGCAGCTGAGCCCGCGGGGCCGCGGGAAGTTCTGCCGCCAGAGGCCGCGCCGGCAGCCGCCCTGCCGCCTCCGGAGCGGGCGCCTCACCTGCCCTCCGCCCGGCCCCTTGCCAACTTCCCCCCGCAACTGGGGGACGCGCAGCGCCCGGCGCCCTCTCCACGGTCCCGACGGCATCCTCATGTCTCCGGACACCTGAACACCCCGGTCCCGCCCGAGAGCCTCCCGGGGACAGAAGAGCGCCTGTCCCCCCCCACCCAGCCCGGCACAACTGCCGACCGCGGCCGCCCGGCCTCCGGGGAGGAGGATGGGGTTGGAGACGCTTTCCCCGAGGATGCTCGTGTGGTTGGTGGCCTCGGGGATTGTTTTCTACGCGAAGCTGTGGGGCTGCGCCGGCCTCGATTATGATTACACTTTTGAAGGGAACGAAGAGGACAGAACGGAGACTCTAGATTACAAGGACCCTTGTAAAGCCGGTAAGTGCCTCTCCGGGTGCGGACGCGGGCGCACCCGGGCTGCGCTGCGGTTCCTACAGTGGCTCTGGAAGCTCACCTGTTTCCTTCCCTCCCGCACCGGCACCGCCGCCGCCCCCTCCCTCCCCCCGCCCACGCCTTCCCGCCTACCTTCCCAGTCCTTTTCCTCCCCTTTTCCATCCCCAAGATCCCCGAGATCTGCCAAGCTCCCGTCTCCCGGTTTGGGGAAAACGTCCTAGAATCGAGTTTCTCCTCTCTCCCCTCCCCCAGAAAATGAAACAAGTCCTAAAGACAGCTGACTGCTGTGGGCGCCACATGCCAGCACTCCGAGGGCTGCGCGCATCTGGACGGGACACCACCTTCTCTTTGTTCCAGGGCGCAGTTTCCCCAGCTCTGGCCCAGGATCGGGAGGGCAGGGTCCCCAAGACGTAGGTGGGAAGGGCACTGCCTCCTTCGGACACCGTTGCTCCCTCTTTTGCCAGGAATTTCAAGGGTGGGTTTCAGGCTATGAGGGGACTGTGACAGCCTCGGCAGAACTCACTTCTTGATGGGATTCCAATGCATTTGTCTATCTAAAATAAAATGGAAAAAACGTCTTTTAAAGTTGCTACACCATCCAAACTTGCGTCTTCCTTCTTGCGACAGCCCTGGGAACTGCAGTTGGCACCGCACTTCCTGTAGCTCAGCTACTCGCCTCGCGGGGTCCCTGAGCGCCCGTCCCTTCCCCGCCCCTTCACGCGCCTGGCTCCGGGGCTCTCTCCCCTCCCGCCGCCTGAGGTCGGAGCGCACGTGCCGGGGCCGCCACCACGTGAGCGCAGCGCCGCCCTCACCGCGCTCCAGCTGGGGCTCCCGGAGGGGCTCCCAGTTCCTCGCCCGGGTGAGGTGATCCCAGTTCAGTGTGACGCACGACTGACTCCTGAGAGAACGTTACACCGGGTGTTGGGGCGACATAGCAGTTGTTTGTAAGCCAAGGCGAGAGATGCCGGCTTTACAGACAGTGTGAGAAGGCAGTGGACAAAATCTTCAGTGTCTCAGCGTTTCTGTCGATTATTGCGGGCTGGGTCAGTCTGTGACTCAGTTGTCTTTCCTTCCATAGCAAGGTAGACCTTCTCCAGCCTCCCGTGGGCTTGAAGGAGAAGAGGACACCGATGAAGGAACATGCTGGAAGTTCGCTAGTTATTTTTTACTTTTAATGACGCATTGTTCTGACAAGTCAGCTCTGGCTATTGTGTTCGTGATGTCAGATAGCTCATGAGACTAGCTTAATGCAAGGTGCTTATTCAGAACTTAAGAGTAGCTTAGCAGACGTTTGTCAATCTGAAACTCAGTTCCTCCTTAATTCGATTTTGCTTGCACGTTCTATCCTATCATCTATAACACTCAATCAGTTTTCCCATCAAAAGTTTACTGGGCCTTCCCTGATGGTTTGGACCCGGAGATGCTTTTCTGCTGTGGTCGCTTAACTAGACGCTGGACAACGGAATCAATGCTGTGCACTTCCCTAAATACATACTTTTTGCTAGGAAATCTTGGGAACAATGTTTGCAATTTGGTGAAAATTGTGCATTTTCTTGCTTGTGGTGAGATAAACATGAACTGTGCAGTATTTGGAGAGATTGTCGAGGACACCGGCGGTTTGGACGCTCTGTTCGGTGAAAGGACCAACCAGCCATCAATATGACGGACTTGCACTGTATGTGTTGAAACACACCTTAAGCATACATGTTTAGTTTTTCCAGCAAATAAACATCTAGGGCAAGGAAAAAGAAAACATTTAAAAGCCTTTGCTTTTTGTTTCCCCCTTGGTACTAGTTTATTTTTGAATATAGCTGTTGAAACAAAAGGAACAACAATTTTGAATGGGTTATTACACTAATGTCTTCCCTCTGAGTAGAAGAGACATACTGTGTGTGTGTGTGTGGTGAGAGAGGAACAGGAATGGTCTAAATGGAAGGCTGAGAAGCAGGCACAGAATCTGAGGTGTTTTTTAAAATTACCTACCCTGCATTTTTAATTCAGCAAAATCAAAGGCCTTAATTTATCATGTTGGCTGAAGATTGGCAAAACCTCCCCACTTCCCTTTTAGCTCTGTTTAAGACAAATAAAAGTTATGACCGCAGGGAAAGAATTAAGGGATACATTGAAATCCCAAATTGGAGTTCAGAAAAGTTCATGCAAGAACGATGAGGGCAGATGTGTTCAGGTGCTTTCCAGAGCGTGGGGCACCTCTGATCTGCCCTTTCCAAATAAGTTTGGAGGCAAGGGCCACTCATGAAATAAAGGGCCCTTTTTGAAGTTTTCTGACAGGGATTCTAGTATGCATTAAGTTTTACAGTGGCTTGATGTTATAGTGAGTAAGATAGCTTTCTGGTTTCAAAGCACTTTTGAGTACGTTATTAACACTGGTGTTCTTATCCCAGTAGGATAGAGTATGTTAATCTTACCATTACACAGATATGAAAACAGACAGTTGTGTTAAATGCCTTTGTTAAGATTACCCAGAACTCAATTCCAAGTCCCCTGGCTCCAAAGTCTGGTTGTATTTCACAGTAACACCACGCATGTTAGTTGTCCTTTCAGAGGCCTTCCTTGAAATGCAGACAATAGAAATTAATCCAGGTTTACCAGGAATCCACACTAACAGATCTGCAGTTTCTCTCATGTCTGATATGGGAGAGTGGAGGACTTGGCTCTTTACCTTCCTAACGCAAGTCATCGAGGACAAAGATCATAACTGGCTTTTAATGTCTATCACAGAGATGGGGTTCCGCTGTTATGTTCTTAATATCTGTTCTTATACTCCCATCTACAAACTTCTTTCCTAAACAATATCAAACACATGTTACCTAAGAAGTATTCTCAATTTGTGAGTGGATAACAATTGCCCATATTTAATATGTGTGTGAAATAGAATACAATTTGTGTACTTGTTAAGCACTGTGATTTCAAGCTCATGAAACTAAAGGATAGAAAGGAATCCTTGGGTTAATATCATTGGATTTTGATTTTAAAAGGCATTTTTGGTATAAATAAAAGTAGGGAAGTTAGTGCAGCACAAATTCAGATAGATTTATGTAGCCAAATTCGCTAGGATGCAATTTAAGGACTTTCTTTCTGTATATAAATAGATACACTCAAAGGTGCAGAGAATTCAGCGGAATGTCTGGCTGTCTTTCTCCAGTGCAGTACGTGGTCATCTGAATATGCAATCAGATTTCTCTTCCTCTAGTTCAGAGGGGTCTCCAGGGATGCCGGGCAGCTGATGCTGCAGGAACTCACCCCAGAGCAGAGACCAAGGTGTCCTGTTTCATTGTTGTGCTGCGGCAGTAAGTGTTAATCTGAGTATTTATATCTGAAAAGAGCCTGGGCAAATTCAGTTTGCAAGTTAATCTTCTGCCAGATACGTGCAGAGATTACTTGGAACAGCAGAGACGGATGAACTAAGTCAGTATTAACTCATACCCTCCCACCAACCCTCCCTTCCTTCCATCCTTTCTTTCTTTCTTTTGTATATTTAAGGAAATATGAAGAAAGCTCGAGCGATTGAAAATAGAATAGCTAATGAGGGATATTGAAGATATTTCAGATGATGAGTAGATGCTTACAAGGCTGAAGAGGTAAAATGTTTGTCCAGAAGGGAGTCCTCATTCTCTCTTGATAGTTGCAAACACCCTGGGGGGAAGACTTCCTACCTTGGCGCTCCTGAGTAAATGATTTTTTTCCTCAGGAGCCAGCATCCCATCATTATTAAAGGTCAGTGACTTGCAAGGTTAAATTTGCCTTTAAAGGAGCAACTGCAAGCCTTTTGAGAGAGAAACAGGCTTTTGGCATCCTAGAGACTTCTTTCTGCTTTTTAAAAAATAAGCAGGTAGTATTCTAGCTTGCGGGATGACTTCCCCAAATTTATAATTTCTAGGTAATATTATATTATTCTTTTAGTCCTCAGTGTTGCACTTTTTCCCTGAACTGGGAACCTCTTCACTATGCAATTTAAGAATTTGATGTTCAACCCCACATCTTTGTTCCGTCATGATTGTGAATATGGAAACATTTACTTCTTAGTCCGTGCATTGGTAAATGGCTGAACTCTCACTTAAAAAATGCATCTCTTAGAGATGCTTCTCCTAACTCGACTTTTCTGTTTTAGTTTTGATTTCTCAGGTCTTGAAATTTTTTTTTCTCCTCCTGCCTCTGGTGCCAACTTAGAAGTGGCCAAAGTACAGCATTTGCACAGGAGATGGATGAGGCCCTGTATTCTGTGCGCGTCAATTCTGCTCCTTTTTGGCCAGTAGTAATTCTCCATCCCTCGTCTTGAGGACCCATGTCAATATCTGGCAGTTACTGTTATTAGGTATGAAAAAGATATTTTTTCCCCCTTAAATATATTCCCTCATACTAAGCCAGCCCTAAAGCTCCTTTTTTTGGCTGTTGTTTCTTTTCTTTCTTGTTTGGTAAGGGAGTCGCTTGAGATCTTCCTACTTTTGTCTCCAAAGAGGGTGGTATCATTTGCAAATTCAAAATCCAACTGGAATCCCTTCTCTTAGCTAGTTGGTGGAGTCTTTATGGTTTCTGTTCAAGTAGGCGTACATTCAGCCTTCCCTACCTTTTCTGTCTAGGCCTCCTTTGTCTATGGTGAAACAATTAAAAGTTCATAGAGCCTAAAAAAGGCCTTTTTAAAGCGTTACCATATAATCCCACAGTTTCCTCTAACCCTCATGATGGCTTCCTTTTCTATCAAAATCTGATAGAAGCCACATGTGGGTTCTTCTTCAGAAACCATATTATTTTTTTCTCATTGTATACAATGAGTCCTATTATTCAATATCTTAGCAACTTTCCCTGATATAAAATTGCAACTCTCTTGCCAGTAGTTAAAACCATATTCCTTGTAAACCTTCTTATGGCTATTACTCATAGTAGTAATCCTTCAGACCTCTAAGTCATGGAGGTGCTGAAATGATAGTTTACTGGAAAGAGGTTAGCCTTCAAATTCTTCTGGAACT